CCAGGAGCAGGAGAAAGCTGAAGGGGGAAGGCGCCAGCGGCTTTTGGGATGCCTTGTGGTGCCAAGGTGCCTTGTGCACCGTTTTGGGGCAAGGAGAAGCGGAGACCCCCCTGCATTTGTGCCGGGGAAAGGTTAAAATTGCCGGTAACTGGAAACTGGAGCTCTCCTTTCCTGGCAGCAGCTGCAGCACCAGATTCCCCATGGTGACCTGGCCTTGGAGAAATGCCACCACTGCTGAGCTGCCTCCCTGGCTTGTTTCCCTCACCTCTCTTGTGCAGCCAGCCCTCCTTCACGACTGAGACTTCGTTCATGGTGGTGCCGCAGGCTCTAAACCCCTCTCTGCCGCAGGACCAGGGAAGTGGCTAACGGCAGCGGGAGGAGCAGCAGGAGCAGAGACAACCTGTGGGAGAAGAGAGAGAGAGATGCTCAAAGAAAGCCGGCAAAGCTCCCGATGCTTTTCTTTCCCCTCCCTCAAGGGGAGGCGGCTGGTTTCAGCACGAAGCAACCCCCACGCACCGATTAAAGACTCTGCTGCACCAATTTCTCAAAAAAAAAGCCACCAAAAAAAAAAACCAACCAGAAAACCCAAAACACACCAAAAATGAAAAAATCAGCATGGCGGCCTTGCAAACCTGGAGATGCTGGGATGGAGCAGGTTTGTCAGCATCATCCCTTTACCTGGTCGGTGTGTGACGAGGGATTAAAAAGCCTTGGGAGGGCTGGACAAGCTCGCAGGGGGAGCACGGTCCCTTGCAAAACAAACAGCTAGAGAAAAATTAATCGGAGTCACCTGACAGGATTAACTCCCCAGGCTCTGAAATCCCGGTGAGTTGGGCGATGGGAGGTGGTGGGACAAGGGGATGTGCCATGTCCTGGTGGTGGCTGGAGGGGATTGTCCCTACCTTGGGTTTCCCCAAAGTCACCTCAGCCTTGCTGCCCTCCCATCCCCTGCCTTTAGTCAGGGTAAAATGAAACCCAACCCCATAAACTTATGGCCAGGCGCAAGGGTTTGGGGTTTTCTGGCTGCATCCGAGGCAAGGCAAGAGCTGGAGCAGCCCGAGACAAATTCCCTGGACACAGTGTTATCCTGACAGAGTTCCTGCTCCACTCCAGTCCCTCTGGATCAGTCCCAGCTCCTGCCTAACTCCCAAACCTCCAGCCTAGTTTTAAAACCTCCCATCTCACCTTTAAAGCTCCCTCCACCGTGGGAACGAGGGGGTTTCCGAAGGGAAGCATGGTGGGCGGGAGGTAAATAATTTCCCTTCCTTGCTCCCATAAATCGGCCCGTGCCTTCCTGATGGGAACCCCCCCGCCACGAGCATCCTGGGATGCTCCTGCGATTCCAGATGGGGAGGAGGATTCTGGGGACTCGCTCACCCCTGAGGCTCCTCCACTCGCCTGGCAGCGCGCAAGGATGCGGGGCAGGCAGACAGGCAATTTGGGCAGAACAAATACGGGCAGGACCTGGCAGCGCATGGAGCTAACACTTCTCCAGCTGCTGAAGGGTCAACCTCTGGATGGGCTCTAGTAAAGAGCTTGTCGATGTTAATTAAAAAGGAAATAAAAAGCTTGCTGCAGAAAAGGGCTGTAATTAATTCTGGAGCTGGCCCAGGAGGCTGAGCCAGCTGCAAGTGTCCCACAAGGGATCCGGACCACGGATGCAAACAAAATCGCAAGAGGCTTTAATAAAAAAATCCCCCAAATGATGAAAAACAGCCCCTAAATGAGCAATTTGACAGGGATGGAGGTTGCAGGATTTTGGGATCGGCTCATCTGGCAGCCAAGCTTCGGCACAGCAGAGAGGACCTGGTGCATCCGCGGCATTGGAGGTGGGTAAAACGGTCAGGACGCGACGAGCCTTCCAACCCAGAGGCAGAGCAAAGATGTTTTCAGTGAGGTCTGGGCATCACTCATTTGCATCCGGGGCTTGTTTCTACGCCGTGCTAATTATCCCGGCCGCAATTAAAAGCCTTAAATGGGTTGTACCTGACCTTTGATTATATTTTTGTGCAAAGTGCGGGATGGCGAGGCTCTCAAACCCGGAGCCTGTGGACTTCTCCGAGCTGACACGGAGTCGTCCTTCAACAGCAATACAAAACCAAAAACGGTGTCGGTTTGGAAAAAAAACCACCACCCCCAAATTGTTGCTTTTTGGGTGCATTTAAGGATAATTATGACAGCAGGATAATCGCAATTCAGGAATTGCCAGCAGCTTGAAGCATCAAACCCCATCACTGTCCTCTCCTCATCCTTGCAGGCACCGGAGAATTTTTAATATGATCCTGACAGCTAACAAAGAGCAGGAACAAGCAGTGGTTGTTAGACACGTTCTCTGAGCCCTGATTGTTGCGGTTATTTCCAACGACGGATGGGGATTGTACCTGCCGCTGAGGGACTCTGACAGCCCATCAGGCACCACGAGAGCGGTTTCCAGACACGCACCAAAAAGTGGCAATTAATTTCAGGCGCGTTCAAGAGACTTTAAACTGGCTGTGAAGTGGCGTTGTAAGAGATTTGCATCTCGAAGTGCGGCGGCGTGCATCCTGTCCCAGGAATGAGCAGCGAGGAGCTTTCAGAGAAGGTCTGAAAGGTATCGGTGCCAAAACCACGGGGATGGGGCGGTCCAAGCCCCCTCCTCCGGAGGGGTGTGGGGGGCTGCCGGGCACCCCCTCTCCCCTGCGGAGGCGGCTGTGGTTGTTACTTACGGGGGGGCAGAGACCCTCAGCCGGGCTCACTCAGCGGGTGGCTGGGGGGATGGATCCCCCAGTGCTGCTGCTCCTCCCTTGGGAGGATACTGGGGAGAGCCCCCCCACCCAGCAGAGATGCCCCAGTCTGCAGAGAGCCCCCAAATCCTGTTCTCCCAGGGCAGAGGCCCCCCAGGCGAGAGACAAACCTCAAATCCCAGAGGCCCACAAGGAGCCCCCCCACCTCAGCTCCCTGGGACAGGGCCCTCCAAGCCTGCCAGGGTCATAGTATAGCCCCCTCCCCAGCCCACCACGGCCCTAAGGCAGGTCCTGCCACGGCATCCCCCCGGATA